CCCCACCTCCTCCCCAGTTGTCTACCATGTGCATCCCTGCATTTGATCTGGTCCCTGCCATACTACCTGGTCCTCACCCCAATAATGTTTATATACAGTAGCTTTTTTTCTATGCCCCTTTTGCATTTTTTGTTTTTTTAACACTTACTTCAGCGGATTCATGTACTTGTCCTTTTGTGCCTGACTTACTTCACTTGGCACGATTTCCTCCAGCTCTTCCCATGCAGCAATGTGCTTCATACGTTCATCACTGCTTTTTAGCGATGCGTAGTACTCCATCAGTTTTTTAATCCAATCGTCACTTGATGGGAATTTGGGTTGCTTCCAACTCCTTGCAATTGTGAACTGTGCCCCAATGAACATTGGCGCACAGATATCTGGACTTGGTTTGTTTCTTGCCTCTTTTGGGTAGATGCCCAGTATGGGAATTGCTGGGTCGTATGGTAACTCAATTTCCATCTGTTTTAGATATCGCCAGATCGATTTCCATAGTGGTTGTACATACTTACAAGTCCACTAGCAGTGGATGAGAGTTCCTGTCACTTGTTGCTTTCTGATTTTTTGAAATGAGCTACCTTTGTGGGTGTTAGGAGGTACCTCATTGTTGTTTTAATTAGCATTTCTCTTATGGCTAAAGATTGAGAACATTTTCTCATATGTTTGTTGGCCATTCGGATTTCTGCCTCTGTGAAACTTCTGTTCAAGTCCTTTGCCCACCTCTCTTTTTGGAAGCTAGCAGAGTATTATAGATTTTAGTAATAAGGTCTTTGTCTGATGTGTCATTGCTAAAGATGTTTTCCCAGCCCATGGACTCTCTTATTACTCTCTTGGTGAATTCTTTTGTCCACCTTAAATTTCTGTCAGCTCCTACCAATGTACCACTGCAACCATTGTTATTGAATTATCTTGAGCAAATCTGTTCTTGCATATGATATTAATAATACCCTTTGAATATTTATATATTCTGTTAGGTCACCTTGCTTTGGAACAAGTACAAATATGGATCTCTTATAGTTGAGTGGCGAAAGCTGTTTTCTGAACTTCTTGGTATTGACTAATGAGGGCTGCGAGTATTTCAGTATTATATCAATTTCTAAAGCCTCCCCCTGCCCACCCCCCACCAAATTTCTTCAATGTAGCTTGGAATTTGCCCTTTAACAATATCAGTCCTTGAAATAATTGAACTTTAGTTCATTCTTTTTTGTAGAGTGACTGTCTGTTCCTTTTGTCTTCTTTTGGTGCTTCTTCCATCACTCAATATTTTGCCCAAGGACTCCTTCAGTATTACAACTTGAGAAGTGAATTTATTTGTTCATTGAGCTTGAAAAATGCTAAGTATGCTCTTCCTTTTCTTGACTTGCTAACTCCCAGTCGCTGCACATTTCATCAGAATACTTTACCTTCTTGAGCTACCTTTTGAAATTTTCCCTTCAGCTCTTTTATTTCATTATGTCTTCGTTTGCTTTTGGTACTTCATGTTCAAAAGAAGCATGTTCAAAAGTCTCTTCTGACACTTTGATCATCTCTTTCTTTCCTGCCTTTGCAATGACTTTTTGCTTTCTTTGCGTATGATATTTTTAAAGTTATTTCACAGCACATCATTAGTGCCCAATGAGTCAAATCTATTCTCGAGATGTTCCTGACATTCAGGAAGGGTATACTCCAGGTTGTATTTGGCTCTACAGGACTTGTTTTAATTTTCTTTAGCTTCAATCTGAATTTGTATATACACAATTGTGAGTCTGTGCCAGTCTGCTCCTGGCCTCCATAGCTGATGATATTGAACTTCTCCATCATCTCCTCCTGCAGTTGTTGTCAACTTCATTCTTGTATCCCATATGATGAGATCCATATGAATAGTCGTCCTTAATGTTATTGGGGGGGGGG